TGCACTGATGCAAACCTGTTGGTAGCCTTCATTTAGTTGAAACCTGTGTACATACATGTCTATAAACGAGAGGGCTGAGACTAAGAGGAAGAAGAGGGACATAGGGAAATAGAAAAAATATTTATTTATTAGGTGCTCAAAAATCTAACTCTAGGGGTCATTCAGAATAGTTAATAGACCACCACAGACGGGGCCCTACATGATGTTCAGCTGGGGTTGCGGGAAAAGCGCAATAAGGCACCACGGCCTCAGCCTAGAGAAGGAGAAGCAACGGATGGGTTTGAGTCAGTAAGAGTCTGGCACTCTTTTTTGCCTCACCCTCGGCGGGAGAAGTAATCGATGATTTTCCTCTTTCAAAAAAAAAGGTGTCTTTATAATAAACCAGGCTTGCGAAAGCAATAATTTACAGCGCCCCCGGCCTTAGAAGGAGAAAGAACGTAGGTAGCGTTTTTTAATTTTACAGTCCCCCCAAGGACGGGCGAAGTGAATTGAAGATTTTTTACTCTTAGTTATAGATGACACCATCTGCAATATCTCGGTTAATAAATCAATGAAATATAAGAGATTATGGAGGGCAGATCTTAGTCGATGCAAAAGTTTGCCTTTTTTTTGTTAACGGGGGGAAACCTTCAAAAGGATTTTTACCTCACTAAAACCTCACCGGTGGCCACCATCAACCCCTATAAGGGACACTGGGACCTCTTGATAGACCAACTCCAGACCACTTGGGTGCAACGCCTGTTATGGCACATTTCTATCAAGAGGTACGTGACCTCTTTAACCGTCATTGTGCACGGCGGCACATGACCTCTGTGCCACCGTCTTCCCTCAAGTCACTGGGGGGCGCCTAGATTCCCACTCCGTGCGCCCGTGACCCCAAAAGTTTGGCTGCATATCGTTGAGGCGGAATGGCGTGATAGGCGCCGAGGCGGTTGCTTCCTTAAGCTTCCTTAAAGTTTGCCTACGAGTGGAGGGTCTGTAAGGTATGAAGAGACTAGAGAGAGGGAGAAAGAGATAGATTCAGTAGCGGATCGTCTTATGGTTGTTATGAAGACTACGATGGTATCTCATACTTATATTTACCTTACATTACTCTCACCTAAACAATACTCTGGCAAGTAACAATGTGACTTTTTCCGAGTTATATGTACTTTCTATGATTATTTAGACACCACTGACATACGGTGAAGGTAAACATCGTGAGGAAACCTGGACTTATAATTTCTAATTATAAGTTTGAAATCGCCAACCCGCATTGAGCAAGCATGGTGATTAATGCTCTAACCTTCTCCGTGTGAGTGTGTGTGTCCACTCATAGGCTGATGATGATGATACAATACTCTAAACGTCTCAGCTATATCTTTTTCAGGGTTGGAATACTTACCAATACCGTATAAAATAATAAATCCATTGTTAGTTCTGAGTCAGGAAGGTCACCGTTGTTTCATCCCCGTGCCTCAGAAAGCACGTGAAGTTATTACTAATGCACCTGACATCTCCCTAGTCGTGTTGATCTGTCGTCTCATCGAATTTATATAGTGGGTAAACGGAGTGTGCATCTTTGTTTCCGGTCACATTTATGCACGTTTGCCGCATAGTATGTTGATAAAAAGTAGCCTATGGCCTCTTTCGGAGTGAATCTTACGCTTGTGCCTAATTTCATCCAGACCCGTCCTGCCGTTTTGGCGTGATTGAGTCACAAACATCCAAACATCGTAACTTTCACATTTATAATATTAGTCAGATATTACATCCGAAGTGGGCTAGTCTAGTTAGACTGACTAACCACCATGATCAGAATCGGTCAGAAGAGAAAAGAGTACCTATGATATCTTTTAATATGAACTCTTTGTGTATTTACCAGCTGTATATATATGTATGCTGTATGTTAAAGGTAATGTGTGAGGATATTATTTATAAAATAAAATTTCATTAATTTAAGTTAACACAATTTATTTATTTTTTATAACATTAAAAACATTACAGATCAATTAAAATTATAATTCTATATTTATTCTTAAATAATTGTCATTTGGAAAAACTGCTTTAATACAATCAATTAATATGATTAAAAAAGAACAATTAACTTTTACATCATATAATATGGGCCTGCCTCACAATACTTAAATAGGTTTTTGTCTAATGAACTGAAAGTGTGACGTGATTTCTACTCGGAATGTGTCAAAAATTATGTAAAAGTTTAAGAGACATTATAATTCTAATAGTTCGTACAATTCCTACTAACACTACACATTAAGAAACTCCTAGTAATTGGATTACAAATGACCTATAATATCTACAAACCTACATAATCTCACTTTTATGTCTCAAATTAGTATTTTTCAACTAATCTCGCCTTAATTCTAAAGATACCACTCAGAAACATTTAGTAATTAGTAAATAAACCATTACTTAAAAACGGTTCTGTTTCCAAGACAGTTGCTAAATAACCAATACATGAATTTGAGTTCAGTGGTAAATCTAATTATTTACGTGTAATATTGATATTAATTTTATTCAACATATAAACATATAATTTACATTTTTAAATATTTCTTCAAAATTGAAAAGAAAAAAAAAAACATTTAAAAATATAAAAATTGATATATAAATATAAATATATTGATATTATCATTATAAGAGTATATTCTGATAAAACCTGCCTATATCAAAATTGTCTAGAGATAAAATACAAAGTACATTTCAAAAAGGTTTATACAATTTTGTGCAGAGAGATACGGTTATAAGGGATATGTATGAAGACAGAATCGAGAAATATTGAAATAGAATACAAGTCAGATATTAAAAAGATACATTATTAATACATAGTATGTTTATAAAATGTATTAATATAACTATGAAGGTCCGCTGTCATCAATATAACGATCAGTAGTTTTCGATAATGATATTATATTTTCGACTTAAATTCTTTACAACAAGTATGTACTAAAATGTACCTATATCTGATATCGGTTGACAAATAGGACCATTGATCTTCCTCAATCTATAAAAAAAATTGATTGATTCTCAACGTTATTATACATTGCCATAAAGTCGAGATAACTCAGTTAAAAACGAGTAAAAACGAACATATTTTGTTATTATTATAAAAAACCTCCTCCAGAGTGATGACTGCCAATTAATCTTTAATACTTACTTTGTTCTAATTGTAATTTCCAAGCAAGATAGCAAAAATTTCAAAGAATTTTCAAGAAGATTTTCATTCGTTTCAAAAAGTACTAGATTAAGTGTTTTAGTGTTGAAACGCAGAACCGTGACGCGGTGTCGATATTCAAGAACTGTGACCTAAATTTAGGCATTATTGTAGTCTTACGTGTCGCGATTTCAAATTTCAACTCTAAAATAACATTAAGAAGGTTTCATTTTAATTGCTCATTATTGTAACATCGATATATAGCTTGCTTATAAGCGGTACTTTTGCTATTTTGCTTAAAACCAACAACTGTAGTGTAGTCGTCCTCCCCTGCACGCCGGTCGGCCATGTTTTGAAAATCCAAGTTATTCGAGATTTTTATTACATAAATGACAGCTAAACTATTGAGAAAAAAATTGTCTAAGTTAGGAAGCTTAAAATTCTAACTTAGGCTACGGACAAAATGGCCGGCCAAAGCGTACAGGAGGTAACAATTTGTTAGTACAATAAAAAAGGTGTTCATGTTTTGGTTTCCACAAATGTGAATAGTTTGATAAATTGCTTATGATCTGGAAAGTAAACAAAAAATATTAGTTTCCTACCGTACTTTTCCGTTTCATTTTGATATATTTTTCAAAGTTTATTTTTAATTCCGATCGTTACAATTGATATAGTGAATGTTATAAAAAGTATTATTCATTCTATAGAATAATAAAATACATATTTGATTTATAAAATATCGACTGGTCCAGAATTAATTTGGAAATGATAATTTAAATGTTAATTTTTCCAAATACAGTCTTATGCATAAATAGGTATAATAAATATTATATAAATAGGTAAGGTTACAAATAGGGTTAGCTTTTTTTATTCAATTATTTAAAAAATTTAAAATGGATACATAGTATATTTAAATATTTATTTATGTTAGAAGAAAATAGTTGTTATACAGGTATGAAGAATATTGTTTTCTGTATTTTCGTATAAATATATGTTATGAGTAAAATATTGGACAGGTATACAAATGACCTATAAAATTCTAACATCAATATTTTTACACAAATTGGGTTATCTATCATTATTTTTTTATCCCCGATTAGATACCAATTATCAGCTCATGAATTTTATCCAATCAAATAAATTAAATCAGGGACATTTCTTAAAACTCTAACAAACATGTGCATAAATCTATCTAATCTAGTTTTAATTTTTTTGTAATTTTCCTACTCTAGTTTAACGTCTATGAGAAAAACGGTATATGTTTGATTGATATAATAGACATCAATTATAAAATGCACGAGAGATTATTTTTGTGCGTATTTCTATTTTGTGCACAAATCTAATTACCTACATAGTCAAGAAGAAAAACATAAAGTCTTTTATAAAGTTTTATGAATATCTTAAACAAGTTGTTTTTCCCGATCCATTGCGATACAAATTCGGTCCGCAAAACAAAAAAAAAACGCACTGTACTGTAGTACTGTCGATAACATGTGTAAATGTCATTATAAGGATATGAAGATAGGTATATATGTGTACGAAGATATATAAAGATATATAAAAATATGACTGGTAATAATTACCAGGCTAAATTCGATAGGTAAGATTAAAGTTTAATAGAAAACATAAAAAAAATATAGAAAGGGATATTTTGTGATGGTAGGATTGGTGGTACCTAGTCATTTATTATTTAGTCCTAATTTCTTCTCGACGATTTTAAGGTTAAAGGGAAAAGCCGCCATCTTAAATCTCTCTCCGTACTAGTAAACGCTCCAAAATGGCTAAGTTTAAAAAATATCACAGATAGGGTGAACGAATAATTTAGAGTTGTGAAATTCGCTATAATTTACAGTTCCTGGGTATCCCGAGAAGAGGAGGCGCCCCGTTGCGGGCTGTTCACACTCACGGCCTGGTGCATAATGTGCACCCGGACGTCAGTGGGCCGGTATTCAATGACCCTCCTATGACGGGTGTGGAATGTTCCATTTAGAGAACTCTTGCAACAGCAATAATAGAACAAATTAGCGTAAGCACGACCAAAGCTTCTGTTCAGAAAACCATACAACAAACTTGTAAATAAGGAGCGACCGATACCTACCCAAGCGGTCTGGTAGAAGTGAGCGTCACCAATATCTGGGTACTGATGGAGGATTACAAGGTAAGGGGTCCAAGAGAGAACGTACATGAAATACGCCATTATGTTCAGCTTAATCAAAGAAAGGTCCCTGTGATATTGCAAGGAGCGCTTGTAAGCGGCTTGGAGTCGAGAATGCTGGTTTATGCGGATAGACGAAGCGATGAGGGTGTAAGTAGTAAGAATGAAAGGAATGCCGTGGAATATGATATTGGTACTGAGTCTGAAGATGTAGTTGCCGTGGTGTCGACGTTCGCAGTAGTCGTAGTCAAGGTCGAGGTAAGTCCCGACGGCAGCTACAGTCATACCAAGGATAAACACCAAAGTGGAGACCAAGCCGACACGCATGTTTATGAAGATTTCGTACGCAGATGGAGGGTGACAGATGCGGACGTAACACTCAGCCGCGACCAGCTGTGGAATAATATATGTTAAGTACCAGTTCCAAGATTTAACCTGCGCACGCCCACGAACCGAAGCAATCACGTATTGCATAGTTAGCACATAAACTTGCTCCAATCTATCAACTTTACCGCCAGATATACTTTAACACAAACTATATAGTGATGAAATAATACAGATTGGAGTCATTTCACCTATATAAAGCGCACGGAAACTGCAGCGTGCGCGTACGCAAGCATGTTCAAAGTTCCATATTGTGTATAAGCTCCATATAGTATTGGTAAATTTAGAGTACCTTTATAATAACTTTGGAGAAAATAACAACCAAGTACATACTTAAGTTGTCATCAACTGTAGGTACCTACTTGTTAAACTGTAACTTATAATTTGAACACTGTTGAATTAGAAATTAATCGATTTTATCTTTTAAATAAAATTAATTAACGCCAGCAGCAAAAGTTCAAATTCGCGAACGCTAAACATATAATACAAATGATAACAATCGCTAGATAAAAAATTCGCAACAAATAAGAGATGAGATAATAAATGGAGGTACTTACACAGAAGAAGATGGAGTAGCAGTACGTGGAAGCCTCAGTAAGGAATTGTAGCCCTTCGCAGACAGGTACAGTGTCCCACACGCCAGAGAGCAAAACTACAGCTGATATAGGTAACACCCCGGCCGTTATAAACATGTCTGCCATACCAACACAAGCGTGGAACACATTACCTGATGCAGAGGACACTAAATAAAACATTTTTCAATAGATTAATAGCGTGATTACATGGCGTTAAAGCTCAAAAATATAATTATATTTACCAATCCTTTTTAAAGCGTGTTCCACAAAGAAGGCTGAGACGAAGAAACCGTTTATTGTAGATCCGAAGCAAGCGCAGAATACAACGATAACGAGTCTTCCAAGAGTTGACCAGTCGCGGCTGAGAGTGATAGGTGAGTAGGTGCGGGTTGAGTTTGCGAGGACGGGGTACAGTTGCTTCACCGCTCCCTCCATTGCTCTTTCTCCTAAAAAGAAGAAAGGAGTTAAGGCGAGACCGCCTTTATACACCTGAACCGGGCCGATACCTGACTATTTCGGTAAAAAATATGTCGACTTACATCATTTATTTATTCAATGTACTTGTTGTGTTTTAATTACTTTAGTACTTTCTAACAAGACAGGACGTAGCGTAATTTTAAGCCCTCATCATCATATCAATTATAATCATATTAAACATTTATCACTTTTAAAACAACTATTTGTATACCGATTCGATTATTACTCCGAGATACACCCTTCTATGCTTCTATCAAATCAACTGCAGTACGGCACTCGCACACTTATTCGACCATATGCATCTATCACATCAAGTGCCTTCGTCTAAAGTCGATTTAATCAAACCATATTATTATGATTGTATTTCTATGTACTTAAGGTCAAATGATTTGGTCAAGTAAGTGCTTACGTAGTACAATGACGCCTGTTAAAGACTTCAACGCGTTTTTACTTGCATATTTTTCTCAATGCTTCTGTACCTGTTTAATATAACAATTTAAGCTAAAATATTTATAAGTGCTGAAATATTTTCTTGAATAGAAAATGTACGAAAAATAATTAATTTTTCCTGTTTTAAATTTCAAATAATTATGGATGTATATTTTTCATTAAAATTAGATATAAAAAAAAAAATATTTGATATATTGAAAAGAGGGAAAAGTTAAGATAAAAATGCCAACTATTACAACATATAACTAATCGTATCTCAAAAATATCTACTTATGAAGTATCTATAGCCTAATGTCTTTGTTATAGTAAAATGGCCCTGATGCCCTATATTCCGATCCCAGATACAGTACCTCAATGATATTACTTAATAAAAGGTAAAAGTAACGAAAGAAAATATGGTATTGCACAACTTGTCTAAATAGACAATTGATAGATGGGCTCAACCGTATTGATACCTTGGCCACACAGAACACTGTTGTAAGGGAACGCTTGCGTTGTTTCAAAATACTTTTACCTGCTTGTCTAGTTATATACAAATGTAATTTAAACGTATTATTTTATTTCGTACCTTTAAATTAAACATTTTAATTCTATTCAGACTATGGGTGCGCACACGCACCTTCCTGATAGACATAGGTATTTTTTTTTGTTTCATAAAATATTTTCCACTTCATCTTTAATCAACAGGTTACGCACTCAGCTTCTTTTTCTAAATAACCATATCGAGAACAAATAATCCGATCAAAATATTTGTTTTTTTTACAAAGCACACTACAGTGAAAATAGTACTGCAGAACTCGAACATTTACGATGGAGTATCTCGTACTTGTCCATACCATACCAAACTACATTTTGGGACAAGCCTAAACCTTTACTGACAGACAGACAAACAGATTAATCAATAATGAAGAGTTCATTAGAGTCTAATTAAATTAAATTTTAAATAATATCATTTTGAAATAACTTAGTCAATTCCTACGCTACCACCGCCCCTTGGGTTCTAAGCTTCGTTACAAGAACATAACCAAAATATATTTCTGCTCCATCTGTAGGCATTTTGAGGTACCACTAAGTACGAGTGAGGTGAGACATTTTTACGGTCACGTTGTTAACGTCCTAGCATGACAAAGACGTGAAAAGTATATAATATTTAATACACAAGATTTTTTATGACGTCTTTTGGTACAAACATTGTCAAAAACACTGACATATAGACAGTGTTTAGTGTATCGCACAATATCTTAGATTAACCACTTCCAAAATTGAGCAAAGTTGTGCCTACTAACGCCACGAAGTGTCATTATTTGGAACTAATGAAAGAATTTGTAAGAAAATTATGTTTTCCTTTTTGATGTTACTTTATGAAAAATAAGCGGTGATTCAAATTTTATTAGTTTACTTTTGCTCTTGTTTATTTCAAATTATATATTGCCACAATGAAATGGGCACATTTTTCGCTTAAAATCAATATGCATCCCCGATGAGTTTTATCGTAACTGCATTAAGATTTTTTTATTTTTTATTACTAGCTATATTTATAAGATGGAAACATTCAATGGGATACTGACTAAATATTCCCCATATCTACGTTCATTCTTTCATTCACCACCTGGCGAGCTCGAGTTATTACTGAAATGCCTTCATGGGTTTCACCTACTATCATTATACTAGAATGTACTGAATATTCAAAAATAAACCAACGCATATATTTCCTCTAAGTTACCGAAAAAATATTTAGAAAATTTAACTTAGAAAACTACGTAGATCGTACTTTATTTCGTACGCCTAACGCCATCTAGGAGACAAAGGTTACAACTATAATACGCGTTAGAAGAGAAGTTCAGAACGTAGGTATGTTTACAAAATTTTTTCATGTAATTTGCCAAAAAAATCTGATTACTAGACATATTATGATTACTTTTTCATAAATTCTTGTACCTATAATTAGAAAACTTTATACGTACATAAGACAAATAAATGGAATAATCAAACAATAATAAGCTTCAATCTAGAAATAATGTTTACATTTAAACGTTACGTTGTTTTCCTTACTTACAGGGTGATGGCGCTTACCAATTACAAAAAAAGAGTTTGAAGAGTAACTCGGAAATTATTTACAAAAAAATAGTAATTATTATTATACTTCGGATGTCTCGTTTATGCATGTAAAATGGGCATGTTGTCCCGTATAGTAATAGAAAAATATATTTCTTTTTACTTGAAATTAGAAGTTAAAATGTAGATATTAGGTATTTAGTATAATATTTTCAAAATAGATAAATTAGATATACTACTTATTGTACTTACCTCTCCTTTTCTTCTACGTTCGCACCAAAAACCGACCGAAATACGGTCGACAACTTCTCGCTGGCGTTCACCAACTGTTAATAAAACAACTACAATTAACAAACGAACCTACTACGTTGATTTATAAAGATTTATTAAAGCCAAGTAAGTCGACACCTCAACCACGCCTCAAATGCAACAAATTACATTCGAAATTTAAAATAACTAGTAAAAAACGGGAATAACTATCACAATATGGTCGCATACTAAACCCGTCCAAGCGAAATTAACGCGTTCAGCGAAAAATATACAAAATACAAATTTAATTACTGTTCTATTTTTATAAACGTAAGGTTGGATTTCCTTTGATTTTCCCTGACAATAGTGTATTTACGTTTGTTCCCCATTTATTGTCCAGTTTTATGGCAGTTTGACGTTAGTTAGTACAGCCAGATGTACGGTGTTTGTCGGAAACGATTGGCCCAAATAACAGTGTAAATAAATTTCACGATCAACGTAATTAAGTTTGTTGTGTGATGAAGATAATTAATTACACCTTTGATATGACGACTAACAAAGTTAAAATGTACTAGAGACGTGTTTATTTCGTTTCATTCTGCTTTGTGAATGTCATTCAACGTTTATTTTTAATTTTAAACAAAGTAGGTACGTTCGAATATTTTCTTTCATGTACGTAGACGTAATCATTGTTAATGATTTTTTTTATTTATTTATCTGTGAACACATCTAATAATACCTAGTGGTCAGTATTTTTAATTTCATTTCGTATTACTGAACACAAAGATCTGACATACCAAAGCGGAGAAAAAAATTTCAAAAGATTTCGTTACAGTTGAAATATTGATTGATTTCTTTGATCGATAAATCGATAACCAAGTCTTGTTGTAGAACCTTTTGTAAGATACTTGACCCCGAAATTATACATAATTTAAAATTGAATTTTGTATAGAAATAAACCGAAGCATTCTTCGAAGAAGGACGCACGAAACTAATTTATCATGAAAGAAACATTGTTGACATCCTAATTATCAATTTAGCGCTCAGATTCACCTTATCTTTTTTAATTTAGAGCAAGTACCACCGTCAATCTACATTTCAGGTACTGCAACGGCGTAGCTACTAAGAGTAGGCTTGAGTACGCCCCAATTAACTCGTTTTACTGACACGAGAGTCTTGTATGCAGTTTTATTCCATTTTTAATATAAACGTATTTTTTATTTTGTTGTAACGTGTCATTTTTTAATAGTACTAAAGACGTTTTTATGAAATAAAAATGTTTTTTTTTTCACACCCTTTTGATTGTTGCTGCTTCGTCGTGACTTTTTCACATTTGCCTTAATACAGTTTAATTGGAGAACTTTAAAAAGCGACTTCCTATTTTTGCAGTAATAATTACAGTTATGATACTGACCGTTTTTGTTTCAGAAATTAGTTAAGATTATTGGGATGGCTACTAAAGTGATTTTTATAACTTTATTAGGAAATATTTTATTAATTTATTTACTTACCTATTGTAGAAAATATTTTAAAATTATGTTGTTTTGTTTAAGTTTTTATTTTGAACTAAACACTGAAAAGTGTTTGTTGTGTTTTATGATAGAGATCTAATGATCATCACGTCATGAATAAGAGTTCTGTTGTGACTTGAAACAATTTGAGCTATTCTCAGTTCATTCAAGTCGTTATTTTTAATCAATCCAGTACCATTCCTAATAATCGGAACATAAATAAATTGGTATTTTTTAATTTTAATAATTCCTTTTTATATCGAGCTTCTCGATTGATAAATAACTTGTTCGTTTGTTTGATACAATATTATTGTGGTTTCTAAGTAAACTCATAGATTGCAAAGAATTATATATTTTCGCAAGCATTTATTTACTTATTAATGTTGCGATGCTGTCGCTAGCAGTAAGCTTGAACTTAGCTGTTCCATTTCCGCCTTCATTCGGTTTGTAGTTTACAGGGTAAATTGATATTTAAAATTCGTTATCACTACATAGAATAAAACTGCGCAACTGATTTTGGTTTGCGTTTTTTTAGTACCTACATAAAAATTATTGAAGAGGAAGGTTTAATAACCATATCGATTAAATAATGAAGTTTAGTATCAATATTGCAGCAATGCAAAGCCGGGGCGGGTCGCGAGTAGTTTTTTGATGCCATTTTTTAATATTTTATTGGATCGAAAATAATTGTTGCTTTGCTAGTCAAATATTTGTAAAATTATTTTTGATTGTATATACAAATTTAAATTCAGTTTCTGTGACAGTAATCTTTTTGCTAAAAACCTATTTTTATTAGTTTGATAAAAAGGTTTTCATAAACAAATTTAATTATTCTTAATATAAAAATGGATCGCCAAATTTGTTGGTAAGCGCATAACTCAACAATGGCTGGACCAATTTTGCTAATTCTTTTTTTGTTGTGTTTGCTAATGTCAGGAGAAGGTTTTTATCAAAGAAAATATTAGAAAAGTAGAGGGAAAGTTTAGGAAAAAGTGACACTATGATAGCTAGATAGTTGGACCAGTGCGAAGCGAGGGCGGACCGCTAGTTATTTATATTAACATGTATTTTAATTTTTTACGTGAGAAATGCTGCAATAAAGTCCCTATATGGAACGGTCGTGGATTTCGATTTCCGCGTTCGTTCAGTCAGAAAGCTTTCAGGACTGCACTCTTTAAAAATATGTAGGTATGACGTTGGGAATTTAAAATACAGGTAGTACTATTTGAGCGTTCATGCTTTTTATTTGGTAGCTTTATTTGTTTATTTTTTATATTGGAAGAACAGAGTTTTTAATTCGGTTTTTTGTTTGAGGGTTTTTTGATGAGGCAATTTGAGTCCGGTATTTTTTTTCATAATTTCAGTAATGTTTCTTTATTATTTTTTTGAATTCTATATTTTGTTTATTCTTGTTTAATGATTAATGTAAAACGAAAATAATGAAATCATTTTTTGATTGTTATTTATATAATGTTTTTTATCTCAACTTTTTTAATAGATCATTTATAAATTTGTTCATGTAATTACTCTGACTCTAGTTTTAATGTCTCAGGTCAAGAGTTGGACTTGAAAAAAATTTATCAACGTAATAATTGAAAATATGCAGACTTAAAATTGAGGTCATCCTCATCGTCTTTTATTTCGAGGTCCCAAGTTATCTTCGAATTAAATTTTTTTTATTATTTAAATTATCTCAGTATGTTATTGCGTGTTTTTATAACTTTAGTAACTTTAGAATTTGTATTTTGTTACTATAGAGTTCGTAATTGAGGGTCGATCTTCAAAGTAATGGTTTTTGTGCAATCTCAACGTAAGTCCTAATCAGTTGAACATTATTTGAAAAAATATCAACGGGGTCGATTTTTAAAACTCGCAAAAAGCTGCGAATGTCAAACTCTTTTTTTTAATTCGGTTAAAAATCCTACAATTAGGTACATCAAATAAAACAACCACATTTTTTATATTTTTTATTAAAATTTGAAAGTAGGTATATTTAGGAAATGAAGAAGCCAAAATATTTATTTTTATATTTTTATTTAATATAAACAGTTATAAAATACAATAATGTATTTAATCAATACAAGACAAGGCATAATGTAACATAACGTTAATATAATAAAGTAGCAATTCATAAAATAAGCAGCTTCAAGTTCAACACGCCGATGATGCGCAGGACGGCAGGAACCTCCAATCAGCTTCCATTGTGTTATAAAAAATAATAACTTAAAAAACGATAATCAGAACACGCAAAATTGCATAAAAATATGCAATTAAATATTTTATTTTTATCATTAGATTTTAATCAAGACTTATTTTTTTATTTTTTTCAATGAGTAAGATAATTTTTTAATGTAAAGGAATGTGCGTGAGCGCATCTGTCGAAATAATATCGATTAAAAAGGTACATTCGTGTTTAATTTTTTTATAGTTTCTGTACTTAGAGCAAAATTTTTGTGTTTTTTTTATTTCGAAAAAAATATTTTTTCCCGTCGTTTTTAAACTATAAAATGCGATTTTGTATTTATTTCGTTTTAATATAGTGTGATACAACCGAAATTCTCTCAAAAGTTCATATGAAGTGACGTGAATGCACAAAACGGTGCATTACAACTTTACTTTTTCTTCAGTTCGGAGTTGAAAAATAATGTCATCAATTTATGAACTCTTTGATAAATTTTAAAGTGAAGTTTCGTCGTTACGATTTCTTTTCAACTAAGCTTTTCGAACTCCAACTCCAGTACCAGCCGCCAGTACCTATATAAAAATAAGTAATAAAATAAAAAGCAAATACGTACCGTCGCCGAGCTCCAACCAATAAGCTGCCGCCAAATCCTCGATCGCAAATCATAGGTCAAAAAATAATAACAAATAATAATCGTTCACTCACCTTAGGGACACCAACTTGTTGGCACCAAAACGCCGGCGAAGACGGAAAGGCAATTTTCGAAAATACAACGAGAACTTTTAAAAGTACACTTTAAAGCAGCTTAAAGTGAACCTTGTGAATTTTTAACAAGACTTGAATTGCTTTACTGCAGTTTATAATGGGTAAAGTAAGTACTTTGAAATTCACTTGGCCAGAGGGGCGGGTGTTCGCGAATTACTACCGTAGCGTCCTACCGTCAAGAAGATATTAAAAAATATCGGGGCGCGAATTCCTTTTTATAGGCAGCTGCGGTAGGGTAGCGTTGCGGGGGGAGGGAAATGCGCTGTGGGGTAGTTTTGGCACACTGCGCAGGCTTTCGGGGAAACTTCATGTCTATAATGGCGACACGAAGACGGATGACGACAGATGAGACGGACATAAAACAGACAGTTAATATGACGAAATCCTTTGTCAAGTATGTTAGTAGTTAAATGGTAGTATAAATTTACATGGGTTAGTTAATGAAGTAATTAAATAATATAATACGAGCTTATAACAACACAGTAAGAAACCTTTACAACTGTTGAATTTCGCGGGCTTTCCACTCAGGTGTAAACTTCACATCATTTTAAAGTCGCTAAATATTATAATTAAAGTTGCGATAACAACTTTGTTAGGGAATGATTCAAACACATAATGTTACATAAGGATACGCAGAGTGCGTCGACAAAATATTTTCAGTGAGTGGCTAAGACTTTTAGACACTTTACTTGGCATGAATGCATGATATATCTTAAAACTGCTTAACAAAGTTAGAAGTCTTTTGTTTGAGACTGGAATAGTAAGTACTTATATTATTTATACATAGGTATGCCATCTAAGTATGGGCAAATAGGTAGGTACATAGGTCGGTAACTAAAGAAACCACAAAGTATATGACGTGTATTGATGACGTCATTGACGAGTTAATAAGAGTGTCCTGGAAGAAACGAAGGGATTTGAATATCACGTTGACTATTTAATCAGTAAAGAAATTTTTTTTTTTTCAGTTAAATTCTGGTGTGATTTCCGATGTTTTTATTAACTATATGTAATCTATATTGAGTTTGAAAAAATATAAAATAATAATAAACAAAGTTTTTGACAGAGTCGGTATAATGATAATGAAATCTAATCACGAAGGTAGGTACATTAGGTACTTACAGATTTTACTTTAGAGTAGCTAGCGCCATCTCTCTTCGAATTGTATGCAACTTTTTGTTTGACAGCTGAAATTGTAGGGTTGCCAAGAAATGAAATTTAGAAAAGTTGGTATAATTATTAGATCTATTTATTTATTATTATGGACCTTTACACATCTTTCAATCATACATTATACAGATAGTAAACCATCATTAAAGTAAAAAATTAGGATTTCTTAAATACTAGAGGTATTTAAGAAATCCTAATTTTTTAGAAAGTATTGTAAGATTGTGAGTCTATTCCAAAAGACAATACTATCGTTACCAACCATTTCTGCCTTATGGTGACCCACATTTGTCATGTTGGTCCAAAGGTTACTTTCTGCCGGGGTTGCGGTGGTAAGCAATGAGGCACCGCGACCTCGACCCAGAGCAGGAGAAGGAACAGGGGGGTTTTTAGTCAGTAAGAGTATGACACTCCCTGACATGACTTCTCCCGCCCAAGGTTGGGCGGAGATGTCATGTGATGATTTTCCCCTCACACAAAAAAGTGTTAGTTTCTGTCATGTATACCTAAATGATGGAAAACATTGTAAGGAAACCTGGACTTATATTTCTAAATATAAATTTGAAAGCGCCAATCCACCTTGAGCAAACGTGGTGACTGGTGATTTATGCTTAAATCTTCTCCACGTGAGAAAAGACCTTTGCCATGGACACTTAACGATAGGCTAATGATGATGAACACTCATTCCTTTAGTTTTTTTTTTTTTTTGTAAAAACTGGCGTGGCAAACCTCGGTATTTTTAAAGCCAGGTTAATTAAAAGACTTATGGATTGGTGTGTTTTATCGTTTGGCCGCATCATCGATTTCTACCAGATAAATAATGGCCAAACGCTTGTAATCAATCAAACAATTGACAAAATCAATCTAGATGAACCCGACTCAAAGCGTGTACACAAACGGTCAAAGAAAATGTTTGTACGTATTACATGTTAGTGGCGGTGATGGTAAAGACGGGTCTAGACATATTTAGCTTCTATGTACCTACTGTGCATCCTTTTTCGTTTTCTTCGCGGGTTTCGCCCGCTGCTTGGCTCCTACAAGTCCTACAGATAGCGTGATATTTTATCCTAGAGCCTTCCTTAATAAATTGACTAACAAATACAAAAACAATTATTCGATTCGAACCAGTAGTTCCAGAAATTAGAGCGTTCAAACAAACAAACAAACTCTACAGCTTTATAATATTAGTATAGATTTAATTCAATATCCTTACAGAATGTTTTACTCTAACGTTAAAGTATCATCGTATAAGTTTTTGTATAAATTAAATAAGCTTTATGTTATTTTATCAGTTTTACTTTGGCAACACCAAATCTGTACGTCAACACCGTCAACACGACGTTAAAAAATGAAGTTTCGTGATTTTGATTAGAATAAAATTCGATTTATTTAAAGTTCTCACTGAATTATAAATAAAAATGTCACCAGAAATAGTTGATACTAGTGCTCGTTACACTGGGGAAGTTTTCTTACCCAGTTGTCATTTGTAAACGTGTAAAACATTCAATATTTTTAACATCAATCGGTAAGTAATGTGGACGTTATAAAAATGATCTGACCTTGGCATTATATCAAGTGTAAAACAGCGGTTGATTTGATTGAGTGCCGGAGGAACACCTTTGGCACTAGTAGAGGGCAACTTCTTGTATCAAATTGCTCGTTCCCACTAGAAATTTAAGCCGTGTATTGTTCATGTGACACGAATTCAAATGTTTACGACTCTGTTTTAAATCAGTGCGTCCAAGCGTGTTTATTTAATTTGATTTTAAAATTCGTTTTAAATTTAAACAGGTTTGTTATTTTTGCTTTATTTATGTGATCTGTTTTTTCTAGGGTTTTTTGTAATATTTTTCCTAGCTATAATTATTAACTGCGAAATAATAAGTTACTGCATAATATTATATAAATTAAAATATTTTTACTTAGGCATTAGTCAATTACATCCTGTTTTATATTATACTATTTATTTAGATTTAACTCCAGATAATTTTATAACACTTATTAAAATATATGATTTGGAATGTTATTTATTGAAAAAAAATATTATTTCCAGCCAGTAACTAACCAACCATGGAGGGCACAATCTCACAGAATTTTGCAAATATACTCAGCACCCTGACTATCCTGTCATGCCTCTTCCTAAAAGTACCACAGATTATGTACATAAAAGAAAAAAAATCAGCAGAGGGAATCTACATACAGGCTATGCTTATGGAAATATTTGGGTGAGTTTTTTATAATATTTTTAATTCGTTTTATGACATTTTGTTTGTTGCTTAGTCAACAGACTGCTGTGCAATATTTTACAGTTTTGATCCCGGCACTGAATTACTTTATGTGATCCACATATTTATTGGTTCCGGGTATGGACATGACCTGTATGTTTGCAAACACACTCCTAATACAGAAAAGCATAGTATGGGACAAGTTTTAGAAAAAAATATTATCAACCTCTTTTTATTAGTGATTATAAAAGTAGGTTAGCATACTATCTTGTCTTTAGATTATTGAAGAATGTCGTGACTTTATTAAGTACTTGTTTAAAATACAATCAAATGACACAGCCTGTTGTAGACTGGAGTTGTTATTGTTGTTTATTGTAGCCTATATATTTTTGTAGTGGGAAATAAAGAAAGGATTTTTTTATGTAAACTTTGTAGATTTAAGTACCTATTAAATAGTAGATGTAATTTGGTATGTTAATAGACAAACATAGTAACTTATATACTTGTATGACCCATGACACTTACCCGTCTACCAACAGGGGATTTTTTTAAGAAATTGACCTACATTATAATTTTCTCCTGTCAAGCGTTATCTAGCACTAGCTACTCTCCTGCGGTTTCACCAGGTACTCGGCTCCTACAGATTGTAGCATGATGTTTTATAGCTTACAGCCTTCCTCAATAAATGGTCCATTAAACATAAAAAGAATTTTAAAATTTGAACCAGTAGTTGCTGAGATAAGTGCTTATAAACAAACAAACTCTTCAGCTTTATAATGTTAGTATAGATAAAAAAAATACATAGAATTTGTTGATCACACAAAGAGTTGGTATAAAAAGACATATAGACAGCCAGCTGTGTCTTAGTAACAGGGTTGCTGTTTTTAACCTTCCTTTATGGCACTTTACAGAGCCAAATCATAATTTCGACATGTTTTAATACTCTTTTAATACTCTTACAATTTCTCTGAATTTATTGTCAACTGTAATCAATTTCTCTCTATACTATAACATACGTCAACGCGACATTCGATTAAATTACCGGAAATAGAGATATAGCAGAGTCCGTGTACACGCTCCGATGTTTTTAAATTATAGAGAATACAGTAGCTTGCGTGATCGCGTCGTTTAATAAATTAGCTCGTGTATTTAAATCTATTGCGTTTTTCTCTGGCCAAGTGGTCTGGCTCAATGGGCTCGACTAGCACTGGTAATATACCACATATACCTCATTTGAAAATCGGCGTGATAAACGCTAATATTATGTTTCGACTTCGTTGTAACCAGAGGTCCAAACCCCGCCCCTTCCCTCTTAAAAAGTATGCAGCAGTAAATGCAGCACTGATGGCGGGTGATCTGTCTTTTTATATGGTCCCCGACCACGCATATCAAAAACATAATAAATAGAAAAAAATATTCATGTTTATATTCACATAAGCCCAATGCAATGTTCGCGTAGTAAACTGGTATGAACTAGATATCGAATGTTTGACGTTCCAAGAATATCTTATGTTGTTAAAACTATTAAACAAATAGCCGTCACTATGCACACATTTCATGAATACAAGCCTACTTGCTTGGTTGATGATTAAACTGCTGTGGCACCTATGCGTGGCGCACTAGTTACAATTGTGTGTGCGACAGTAAAAACTAAATGTAAACAAAACAGTGTGCATACGGTTCAAATTAAAACGTCTTGTGTTGTAGTTTTATAGCATTAATTGCTGGCTGAATTTTACTAAAACTATAAAATTTTGTTCTTTCTATTAAGTACTATTCGAATAGCATCACAATAAGTAACGATTTATTAAGATCCATGCGATTATGTGTATATAAATAAGTTTTAACTAGATTATTTTACTTCGATGATACTAATGTAGGTACCTAGTGTTCAGAGAACCTTTATTTGCAAGAAAAAACAAATGAGACATTTTTTATGTGATATATCGGCAAATGAGCAGACGGATTACCTCATGGTAAGCAATCAACGCCGCCCATGTACACCCGCTACATCATAGCAGTTACGAGTGCGTTGCCAATCTTTTGGGGATTGGGAATTGGAGATTTAGGAATTGGATGAAGGGAACTTTTGGGCCTCCGGTAACCTCATTCACACGGCGAAACAACGTTGTGCTTGTTTACGCTGGTTTTCTGTGACACCGTGGTATCACTCCGGTCGAGCCGACCCATTCGTGCCGAAGCATGGCTCTCCCACACTTAAACATACTTATAATACACACTTTAACATTTTGGAAAAATAACATTCTTATTCTTGTAACGCCAAAGAAATTAGCCTTTTGTAGGTTAGGGATTTCAGGATTGATGATTAGGGATTTAAAGATTGAAGGAGGAAGGCTTAGGCCCCTGACACAACGTTAGCATAGTTTCACGACTGTTTTCTGGAGGTTGTACGGCGGTATCACTCCGCTTGAGTCGGCCCATTTGTACCAAAGTACCTCTCACAACTAGTAGCATTTTTAAAAATCTTGTATCAGTTTTTGAATATTCAACGCTAATACTAAATTAGGTACTTCACTATTTACATATACAACTTCCTCTTCAATAATATAAAACTTAAAAAAAAGCATCAGAATCGGTTGTGTAGTTTCAAGATTTAAGCGATTTCGTTTTATATAATGTAGTGATACTGATGCAAAAACCCGATCAAAGTTCTAACATCGCCTCTTTTTCCAGGTTCTCCATAATGACATTATACAACTTTACGAACAACTACGGCATCATGACTTACTTGGAATACCCGATAATACTGCTGCAAGTGTACGTGATGTTTTACTACGTGCTCAAGTTTAAGAAAATGCTGCCTTCTTCTGCAGTACCACTCGGTACCCTGGCGTATTTCTCTACTGTCGTCGGGTTTGTGACAGGCGTTCTACCGAAGGGTATACTTGGATATCTTGTGGTGAGTACCAACTTCATGTAATAATCATCTTTATCGTTATATCTGGATACACTAAGAACTAACTGCCTAAACTAAATTAGGGTATTCCATCAACTCCATGATTCCTACGTGGCTTGAGGATCAATACGTAACCTAAAATTTTGTACTAAGATAATTTTTTATTTGAAAACATTTTTTGTTTTTTTTTATGTAATTGGTCGGCAAACGAGCAGACAGATTACCTGATGGTAATCAATCAGCGCCGCCCATTGACACTCGCAACTCGAGTTACGAGTGCGTTGCTGACCTTTAAATCTCCAAATCCCTAGTCCCTAATTAGGGATTGGGGGCGGGGAAGGATTGGGCCTCCGATAACCTCATTTACACGGCGAAACACAACGCTGTGGTTGTTTCACGCCGGTCTTCTGCGAGGCCGTGGTATCACTCCGATCGAGCCGACCCATTCGTGCCGAAGCTTGGCTCTCCCACACTTGAATTGTTCGAGGAGAATGTTTAATCACGAGCAGTGCCTTTACAAAGTCTTTAGCAATATTTATCGCCATGTACTTCTTTATATTACAAACTTACTACTACTATAGTATAGTCAAATTTAGGGTCAAGTGGGGAGGAATCAGCAAAAACTTGTCTTGTGGGATTTTTTGTAGAGAACGTAGGTAAATATTACGTCGTTTTTAACATTTCTATTTTAAAACAAACTGGGTCAAATTGCACAACGAAACGTTTAATTTAATTACACTGTGAAATACAAGTCTAAGAAGAGAATTTGAGCACTGACTGCATGCCTTCATTTAGATAAGATTCCTTCTGAGGAATCATCATCATCTTCCTGCCCTTGTCCCGTTTTATTTGGGGTCGGCGCAGTATGTTTTTTCTTCCATTCTGTCCTGTCACTCGTCACGCTATCGCTAACTCCTCTGTCTTCCATATCACTTCTCACACAATCCATCCATATTTTCTTTGGTCTCCCCCTCCCTCTCCATCCATCCACATTTATACTCATGACTCTTTTTGTTACATGCTTTTCATCCCTCCTTTTCACATGGCCATACCGAGACAAACTGTTCCCTTTCAACTTTTCAGTCACTGGCGCCACTTTCAAACTTCCTCTAATATACTCATTTCTCACTTTATCCATTCTCGTCACACCACACATCCATCTCAGCATTCTCATCTCTGCTACATCATCTGGGGCATCCGTGGGTCGCAAGTTGTTCCAGTGACCTGTCGCCATTTCATCCATCCTGAGTTGATCCGATGTGCCACGTCTCGGTCTATCTCACCATTTCCTTGGATAAGCGAGCCAAGGTACCGAAAATCAGAACAGGTTGGTATGGGCGTTCCGGCGAGAGCTATGGGCACAGAACTAGAGAGACCGCCAAAATCGCAGAACAAGTACTCTGTTTTAGTTCTGCTCAATTTTAGGCCAACACTCTCCAGTCTATGCCACCACACCTCCAATCTGCTCTGGACCTCTAGGGCACTCTCGGCAACCAGCACAATATCATCGGCAAACATAAGGATTCGATACTTAATATATTTCTTTATTACATTACCTACTTCAGAAGCGTGCTAGACAAGGAAAGTACTACTTTTAAATATCTTTGAAAATTACGAACAATTATAAATCATTGTAAATATATATTATGTTTAGTGTCATAATTAGTTGGTCTAGACGATACGACAGCAGTAAGCAATGATTCACTCGTTAACGTATTAGCATATGAATTTGTTTTTGTGTAGGATAAAACGGGGATTGTCCTTGGGTGCGCTTATATAGTGCATACAGGGATAATTGCCGGCTGATGTCCCATCACATTTAGATTAAAACTGTTCAACGTCAACGGGCCTCTGCGAGTTGGCTTCGGCTCCTCGTACGCCTTCCGAAGGTCCGGGACCCTGTGGTCCCGTGTAAGGAAAGAACAAACAAATAATAACGTGATTATTAAAAAGACCATGGTTCGAGAAAGAAGCGGCCTGCGATTAGGCAATTATAATAGTCTATTGATTAGAGCAGTCAGGTCAATAATTGATCGAAAAGTAAGTTGCACTGTTTATGAATTTATACTGCTATTTGAAGCGTCCGGCGCTGGTTCGCGAGCCTTCTGGTAGAGACCCTTTCTCGCCGTCTGAAGACGTTGCGGTGGCTGGAGATCGTCCTGCGATCCCCGACGACCGGAGCGGCTCCTGCAGTCGCTTGGGAGTGAGGAACATTGTTCCATCAACACCTAGACTTTCGCTTTAATAAAGATAAAATTTAAGTCTAAAGAATTGGTCACTAAAATCAGGAACTAGTGCTTTGCATTGAGCATTTTTTCGCGATGTCTGTTTATCAAATTGCAAGGGTCGTAATTGCGTTACAATTTCCTCAAACAAAGACTCTTAGCTGTAATGTCGCATAGGTTGGAAAGTTTGTTGATCGCTTAATATTCTTCTTGATCATCCAGTATGTAGATACTGGTACAATATTTACTCTAAGAAAACTTCATGCCTATTATGTACTAAGTGAATTTAATTAAGACTAATATCAATTTGAAAGTGCAATCAACATCGGGACTTTGGTATTTTCAATCACATCGATCCGCTTCAAATACAAATGCAAATGTTCGCATCGACATCAATTATGTATGCAGTTCGTATATGTTTATTTAATGTAGGACGCGCACTTAATTCGTTAGACGTGAACAAGGCGTCCGCCCACATTAAATTTCCCCGGCTGAATGATCATCGGAAAGACACGAAGTTTACATATAATAAGTAAGCGCTGGTAAACGTACACAAATTTTACCTTGAAATAATATTATTACGGTAAATTGCTCTATCACAAAATAGTACAGTAGGTATTTATTGGTTGTACAGCGTCGGTCTTAAATCCAAACTAATATGAAAAATGCGAAAGTAAATTTGTCTTTTCTTTACGCCTAAACTACTGAACCGATTTCTGTGAAATTTGGTACAGACATAATTCGGAACTCTAGGAAGGACATAGGATAGTTTTTATACAAAAAATCTACAGGAAGTCTTCGTTCGCGTTGAAGTCACTATTCCACGCGAACGGAGTCGCGGGCAAAAGCTAGTTAAAAATAATATGGACTTGTGCCTAAAATAAGGCAATAGACTTGAACCATGTACATAATTTGTAGGTATATATAAAATATATGTTGTCCTATCCTTCTATCCTACTAATATAATTAATGTGAAAATCTGTACGAATGTATGGATGTATGTTTGTTATTCTTTCACGCAAAAACGACTGGATCGATTTGGTTGAAATTTAGTATGTGGATAGGTGATAACTTGGATATAGGCTTTTTATCAACATACCACGCGAGCGAAGCCCTGTGCGAAATATAGTCATACGTACAAAATGATTAAGAGTCACATTTATGAACTACATAAACTCAATATTTTTATGTTCAAAAATGTGTCTATTGTAATTGTCTTATGGCAAAGTTATACGGTATCTATCTATTGTTTCCTTAGATTGTTTGTTTTAAGCAAATATGAACAGATTTGCGTCAGGTATCAAGTGAAGGTTTACGCAGCCACAATTGTTGTTCGTGTATGAGTCATTAGAAGATATTTATGTAATACCAAGCTATTAGAAAACACCTTTAAAACCTCGTGTCTTATACCCGTACAAATATTTCCAAACTAGATTATACCTGCTGCTACATCCACGTGGTGTAAGAAAAAGAGGTGTTATATACATTGCGGTGCTTCTTTTAGCCACATGAGCAAAGCTGAGCGGTACTAGACCAGACTGATGAATACCAAAAAAACGCCCTGAGATGTTGTGACGCGATAGAATGACAAAGAAACACTATTGCATTTTCAGTGGGTTAAAGATCTTACTACTTACTTTGTACTTTGAGATGAACTGGCTAACTCATAGAAAGACTTTTCCTATATTCCTATAACGTAACTTATTATGCAAAACATTTTCTCATGAAGTGGCTGTACCTAATCCCATGGCAATTAGACTTCCTCGTCCTCGGCTCCCAAAGACCCTCGTATGACGGCTCGGGTCTCAATGCGCGTCAGCGGTAATCACCAACATTACACACTTGTACCTTAAGTGTAGGAGAACCATGCTTCGGCACGAATGGGTCGGCTCGACCGGATTGATACCACGGCCTCACAGAAAACCGGCGTGAAACAACCACAGCTTTGTGTTTCGCTGTGTGAGTGAGGTTACCGGAAGCCCAATCCTTCCCTTTCCCCAATCCCTCCTCAATCCCTAATCCCTAAAAGGTCGGCAACGAACTCGTAAATCCTCCTTTGCGGGTCTCCATAGGCGGCGCTGATTGCTTACCATCAGGTAATCCGTCTGCTCGTTTGACGATCTGTTACTTAAAAAAAAATATTGTACTATTATTTTATATTTACAATATATAAATGTAAGAAAACATCTTCTAAACATAATTGTTAGCATATATGACACAAATGATTTCATAAACTCGATAGCTCGCATGCGTAATTAATTTGCTATAAACGATTAATATTTTATTCTCTACCGTTGTTTTGGTCGCCATCCAAATATACCGACGTTGTTCTTTAACATTTGTAACCTGATAAATTAAGAATGTGCACACCTATACATTATTGGATGTTAGCCATATTAACTATTAATTTTCTTTTAGCGTGTCTGACAACGATAGAGTACTCGTTTGCTTCCTTATGTACCTGCTTGTTGTTTTATTTGCATGAAATATTTTAGGGATTTTCGTTACATAACAACAGGTGCATTGGTGCTTGGTCTGCATACTACAAGTCTATTTTAATTATTGGTACTTCACATGGTGAAAAGTTAATTGTTTAAGGGCTGATGTTTCAATAGTCAGATAAATGTTATCTGACGAATACAATTGTTGCTGTCACTGTCTTATACAAACATTCTGACGCGACAGCATCATAATTATTTCCCAGATAACTTTTATCTAACCATTGTAAAATTAGCCATTAATTCAATAAACAGCAATCAAGCGTTATTTATTCTTTGATATTGAAATACGATAGAGTTGTTATTCTAGCTACGAGTGATAGTATTCTGGCTATTTTTCGAGAAATAAAGATTCTCCTTGATAAAACCCGACGTAGCAACACACAACCTCTTACAAAACCTATAGAATCCCTTTATAGTGTTATTGTTTTGTACATATTTCTTTGTGACATACTTACATAGTTCGCGCAATGTGGTGCAGTCCATCCTATGCGTTAGTAAAATAGGCGGTCAAGTCACATATTTTTAAATTTTATGCTGGTACATAATTTTTATATAAACCCATTAGTTTTTTTTATCAGCCCCTGTACCTTCAGCTATGCAATAATAGCATTAAGTACTTATATAGTCATAGATAAAAAAGGTTGTTAACTAAATCGCCTTGGCGTCATGGCAATCAATTTTAGTCCAAACACTAGCAAAATAATGAAGGTCTTCGATATATAACAGTGTTACCTTTCTTTCTCTAATTTTACCTTGTCTTATTGGTAGATGCCTAATCGGACACATTTCTAGACGCCATTTTTAGATTGCCACGTATGCATGTAAATGACCAGTCTATCTATGTCATAGAATCTCGGTCATAATTCGTTTTGTATCGGCATCGACAGTTAGCAATTCAGGTGTACCAGTTGCTCGCTTCACAGTTAAGCTCCAATGGTTGTAGTTCTGGATATATGATAAATTAGACAGTATGCTGTTGTGTCCGTGATTAGTATCTTACGTGGTAATGATGAATATCATGATTCGATTTAATGATTTTTTTTAATAACGTTGCTTTACACTAGTGTTTTTTTTTCTGCGTCGTAGCGTTCCGCGCGCGCCTCAAAGAGCCAATAGACCACCACAGACTGGGCCCAATAGGGCTGATGTTCAGCTGGGGTTGCGGGGTAAGCGCAATGAGGCACCGCGATCTCGGCCCAGAGCACGAGAAGGAATGGGGGGGTTTTTAGTCAGTAAGAGTCTGACACTCCCTCCCGCCCGGCCCGGGGCGGGAGAAGTCATTGGATGATTTTCCCCTGAAAAAAGGGTTTTTTCCTGCGTAGTAAATGCGTTTGCAAACATTCAATTCAGTTGTTAATTTGAAAAAAATTAGCTCATCAATAATATATTTATTTATGCATGAATTCACTACTCAGTATCCTACTTGTTTTCTTGAATTTCTAGATAGTTCCTAAAATTTCTGCCAATTTAATGCACTTCGCTTGCTAAGGAATCCTAGAAAGTTTGTTCAAACATTCAGAATATATCTTGCTCGCGCGAAAACTTTCAGTGAAATAGGGAACACGAGTTGTGAAAGTACACGTTTCTGGTACCTAGCTAAGCATACAACGCGTTGTAAGCGCCACGTGTAGTCTAATAGTTCGTAACTTTGCATTCTCATACTTTCCACACGATGTTTAATAAAATTTTCTGTTCCACGTGTTTATTGAATATAGGTGTAATATAGTATTCAGTCTTCAGTTACGATAACGTTTTAAAATAATAAGTTAATCCTTTGATATGGAATACCTATACTCAACGTTAGTGATAAATTGATAAGAAATAATTTATGTAACAGATATGAATGACTGGAAAACTGCACTTTCAATAACGTATTTATTGAATTTCGAAGATTTTTGCTTGCAAATCAGTCCTATGTTGATTGATCCTTTAATATCATTTGGTTGTTTTGCTATTACTATTGCTACGTATGTAGGTAGTAATGAAAAATTGAGAATATTGTGCTTAGTAATTCCACCTCAGTTCATCTTTTACTACCGTTAGCGCGGGTCTGCGGAAAACGAGCAAGGTTTACTCGCCGCTCGTCCTGAACCAGACCCGAGTGTACGACGCGCAGAATTCCGCGCGTGCCTCAAAGACTGACCATCACAGATGGAGCCAGGGCTGATGTTCAGCAGGGGTTGCGGGTCAGGCACAATAATGCATCGCAGCGTCGGAATGCATCAGTAGAAGCAATGGGATGTTTTGTCAGTGACATTCCCTCTCACCCTGACCAAGGCGCTGTCCAAGGCGAGAGATGTAATTTGATGATATTCACACATCAAAAACTACTTCTAGTATCGAGTGGTTTCAAGAATACAATAACAATTAGGATTGAACCACTATCAATTGAAGGAAACGATACAAGTGACAACATTGTCACTTTGTACCCTAATTGCATGTTGTTATGTATCGCGTCAGTCGTTGCACCCAATTGACAGTTAATGCCCTGTAACAATACGCCAATGACTCGTCAATAGCGCACTTGACTAGCGAAATTGGATACGATACTTGGTACATAGTTATTATGAGACTACATAGACCCTTATATATTGTACAGTAGAAATAAGGAGTGAAACAAACAGAAACATATTTGAGCGAAAATTGAAGTCATATCATTTAAATATGTTATGATTTATCAACATGTAAAGTTGAAATAATTAATTATAAGTACATTTAAGTATTTCTAGAGACTCTTTGACCACACAGTCAAACCCAAGTCTGGTGGTAGGCCTATCAAATAAATTTCTGAACGAAGACTAAATAAAAAAAAATGCTATCAGCTCATATAGTGCATTCGCCTTAAGATGTTTAAGCCGTAGTCGCATCGGTTTGTGAATTAAAATTAAATGAGGTCAGGAGTTCAATTGCTTAGGATAAAGGTTGCGATGATAATGTTTTTCTGTAATTTGTGCGTTCTGTGTTGGTTGATTCCTTCTGTTATATGGGATAGATTTTGTGGTGACCATTCTTATGCATGAGGGTGCAAATGCAAAACCTCGCGAATGCCAATGTAACTTTTTCCGGGTTATATGTATTTAATCAATGTATTTAGACTTCACTGAAAAAACGGTGTAGGAAATCATCATGAGAATTGAATTTGGAATACATGTCCGCCTCGAACAAGAGTGGTGATTAATGCTCAGACCTTGTCGGTGTGAGAAGAGGCCTTGCTCAGCAATGGGCATTTACTGTGACCTGGCTGACCATTACATTTCAATTGTTTGACTATACAAACGAAGTTTGTTCCGTCATATCAATCTCGCGTGTTATTCCCAACAAAAAACATAGTTACAATTACACTTGAACTTCACTTCTCAGCTTGTTAGCGATGGTTGAGTGAAGCAATGCGATGCTAATCGAGAGCCGGGACTTTGATTGTCGACATCCTCAGGGAATTTTATCAACTAGCTGACAGACCATTTACTGGACACAAGCGTTCGCAACCAATGCTATCGTCTTGTAATTTCCTTTACCAATTTTATTAGAGACTAGCTACTCTCGCGCGGTTTCACCCGCTGCTCGGCTCCATTTAATCGTAGCGATGTTTTAGCCATAGCCTATAGCACTCAGGAACATTGTAGCTTATTTATCAGTGAAAGAATTTTGGCAATCCGACCAGCGGTTCCAAAGATTACCCCTAACATACAAACTTACAAATTTTACCTCTTTATAGGTAATATTAGTATAGATCTGACCTTTTGTGATCTTTCATTGTATCCTCTTATTGTTATTGTTATTGCGTTTTAAGTCATTAATATTAAAAATATGTTTTATGAGATATACTTTTTCATTAATATTTTGGGAGCCATTATTGTGGGTCGTCTAGTTATCGAAAGTGCGAGTAATCGGCTCAGAGGCCTGTCTAGACCTAGGATCTCTTAGTTCGAATAAAAGTTATTAGATTTTCCGATACTTATGGCGAAATTGTTATTTTTTTTCTTAACGAAATGAGACCGCTTAAGTATATTGTATGAATATATAGATCTCTAAATGAATTTTAAAAAGGGAATGTATTATGTGGTCCATCACGCACGCGATGTTAAGCTTTTAGGGCATACATCGGTCTGATGCATTATTTTATACTAGCTTCCACCCGCAGCATCGCTCGCGTGGTAAAAGTATGCCATACTCCGGAGTGTATCCTGTGCCTGTGCCAAATTTCATCCAGTTCCGTCCAGCTGTTTTGACGTAATTGAGTAACAAACATCCAAACATCGTTACTGCCGCATTACTTATAGTATCAGTAAAAGTAAGATTGATACTTACTGACTTTAGTTTGTTTGTCATTTCTGAGTTTGTTTCGGCATTTCTTCTCAGAGTAGTCAGATAGGAAATGCCTGCTTCATCTAGTTTTTCACATATAAATTGACGTGTAAAAGCGCCGTCTTATGGCCTATTTGCAAAAAAAAATTCATTGTTTCATTGTTTTATTCCAGCCATTCTGCACTCCTCTGAGCGGCTTCGCGAAGGTGACGTACATTTATGGGATCATCAAAGAACAGAATGCTGACGCCGTTTCGTTGACAACATGGGTTATATCAGTCTCAACTAACTTAGGTGAGTAGTAGATGTTATTGTCTTACCAAAGTTAAACATATGTAGGCACTCGTAAAGTTCAATTCACAGGATGAACAGAGTTGGTTTTTTTTAATGGAAGTCGTTTCTATTTTGTTGTAACTCTTTCTGAGAGGAAAAATTATCTAATGAATCTGGCGGTGACTGTTATCCAAATCGCTTCATCTTTTTTCGAGCTGAGCTCTGGTAACTTTTTGCGCTTTACCTGCAGCTGGGCCTGACATCGGCCCTAGTGGGTTCCGCCTTGCCCTAAATTGTCTTTAAGGTGCTTGCGAAATACATCATGTGCCCGGGTTTGACTCTGTTCGAGTTGCGAACTATACTCTAGCTCGCCTTCCTTAGCAGATCCTAGACATATGCATCTCTGGCCTCTTCTTCAGTGAATGTACGTCAGAGAGTTATATATGTGTAAATATGTACAGAAATAAATGTCATACCTTGCCAATATCATACGACAGACAATATCAAAGCCCTCAACTATCAAACGAGTGTAACTCGGAGGCCTTGAAATCTAGCTCTACGCCAATAATTGACGACACGGGTGGCGCAGTGGCTTGTGATTCACTTATCCCAGTTGCAGATCTAGTTATCACGTGACATTGATTGTTATCGCACTCGTAATAAAGGAGATAATCCTACTCCCCAGTAACGATGTTTTAAAGAAAAAGCCCCAATTTATATTGACTTAATTTTACTGATTACTGTTCCAGCTCGCATATTCACGGTCTACGTAGACTCGGCAGACTTCAAGTTGTTGCTAAACTTCTTGGTGTCGACGCTACTGAGCTCTGCAGTGTTGGGAACAGCCATCTACTACAAGAAAACAAGCAGTCCACAACCATCATCTCGAAGGAAGTCTAGCACTAAACACAACCATTCCGATTAGGTTTGCTACTTTATTCTAGGTTCGTAGCTAGTTGGTATACAGCCAGTCTTATTAACCTGTCTGTTTGTAGATTTATTTGCTTGTTGAAACTGCACTGCTGCTGTGTGGATCTCTTTAACAAAATGGTTTTCCCGAATAACAACTCTTGAGAGACTGGTTAGCTTTCTTAGTATAAAATGATCAGCTTAGGTAATTAGAGATTCGCTCTTGCCAAGCCACTGTTGAATAAATAGTTTTTTAATCGATTTTTCGATCGATGATCGTATTGAACTAGGTATCAGTTTTGTCCACTCAGGATCGTATATGATGGTGTATCTGGCCGTTTGGAAACCTGAACGCCAAACTAAAGTTACCGTTCGGGTAGACAATCTAATTTATTGTGCTTTTGCGAAACCTTTGGGCAAAGTAAATGGTAACATATATTCCAATCTGGCATATGCATACGGCGAGACTAGCTTGCTAGAGGCTTACTAGAACATTAAGACTGGCCAAAAAATATATGTATATGTTTGAGTAGTCCACAGTAATGATATATGTGATAAGGCAACGCTAGCGATCGTAGATGACTTGCTTCAAAGCGAAACTAATAAACATTTGCCAAGCCTTCGTGCGTGTATCGAGTATTAAAATACTATATGTATTAGACTACTCGTATATTTTATAACAATGCAATACGAAAACAGAAGAGATTCCTTACATAGTTATATCAATCAAGTTGCTGATTTAATAGCGCGTGGGCTTGTAGAAAGTTGAGGGTCAGTATCACAATATCTGATTCAGGAAACTTTCAAGGAACAGTGAATTAAGTCCCAAAAGTCGGAAAAGGTGGATCCTACAACTCAACTAGGCGAGGAGATCATTCCTGGCGGACTACTGCCCAACAATGGTTGGGATTTTCTTTATATGTAAAACTAACTACTCTCGCGCTGTTTCACCTACTGCTCAGTTTCATTTAATCGTAGCGTGATGTTTATAGCCCATAGCACTCAGGAATATTGTAGCTATCTATCAGTGAAAGAATTTTGGAAATCCGACCAGCGGTTCCAAAGATTATTACCCCCTACATACAAACTTACAAATTTTACCTCTAAAATAGTAGTATAGATGGCGCGCAAACTCTCTTCCGTGATGAAGGATTTGTAACATTATCCATTGAATCGAACCGATAGGACCTTGAAACCTTTAAAAAAAGAACACACTCCTCCATATAAGGACGGTAACGCACTTGCGACTTATGTCGTTCTGGTATTGCGGGGATGGGGGTCCATGGGCGGCGTTAAACACTTACCGTCAAACCACAAAAGCGTTAATTTGCCTCCTAATCCTAAAAAAAATGACATAACCTCGAAATATATTATAATATGTCAGTTAAGCTAACAGCTACCTAATCAGTTATTGTTTTACAGGCCCTTAGCATAGAAAATTCTAGAACTATTCTACTCTCTTTATTCTTAAAGTACTGATGGACCTGAGCTTTCACTTGTAATCTCCAATTTTTGGACGACCCGAGCCTACCTACAATTTCATGAATGCTACCGAACATTTTGGTCAAAATTTGTTGTCAATATTCTTCTACTTTACGATCTGGTAGATTGCTCGTTTTTTTCTATAATATCAGCCATAATGGTCATTGTAAGAGAAAGCTCAAGTTTATCAATGATTACCATATTATATGCTTCCTACTTTAAGTAAGTACTTGAAAAATTACTCGTAAAGTAAATTGCGTATTACCTATAAAATACTCTTATGGACGCTAAATCATGTAATGTTTTACGAATTTTGGATTGTTTTAGTAAGTATCTGAAAAGGATAATTCTCATCATTTTCAAACCGACTTCAAAAACTTAGCAGGTGTTTTTGTAAAAAAATCGAAATATTACTAAAAATGATACAGTAATATTATAAATCAATCTTTACCCTATTTGTTTTTGAAGTTGGTTTTAAATAGTAGTGTTGTTTTTTTTATTGAAATTTTTATATAAAAAATATAACTCCTCTTTTAAATTGCTTTATTGCAATGTGCATCACGCACGATTTTATACTCTAACGACTTGATGTTATGGTATATTTTAAATTATTTTCTAAATGTAAAGTAAATATTATTATTATTTATGCTCATATTGTGGTGAATGATTTTTTAATCATTGATGCATATTTTTAATTATAAGCATTCCCTTAGTTATATCCCAATTTTTAAGGCAGCTATGCAAAGCAAAGAACTTCTAAAAACTTAATACTCTTCCACTCTTCAATGTTAACTAAAATAGCAAGCAAATTTAAAGCTTCAAAGTTGAAATTTAAAGTTCAAAATTAGTATAAATAGTAAAAAAATAAGTGCCATAATGAAAAATAGTATATTTGTTATATTTTTGTATGAATTATACATGCGTGTACAATTTATTTTGTATTCTGATGAATTTGTTAAGGAACTAGCATCATTGTTGCGAAATACATAAGACAGAAAATTGTATAAAAAATATAAATTTACTACTACAACGCTGCCTTTTATTATCCAAGAAAGCGAGTATGTAGGTTTCAATTATGTACCAAAACAAATCGTTTGAAATTGACCGTAAAGACGTGTACAACAATAGTTTTATACATTTTAAACGTTACTAATTTGTAATAAGGTCGGTTTTTATATAATAATTATTTTTTATATAATTTTCTTATATAATTTTGTACATTAATGTATTTAATTTGAACATTGTGCCACTTATACTGTTAATATATGACATATTTGCTTCGAAATTACAAAATAAAAGAATAATTCTTATAGAAAAAAAGTTAATAATTGTTATATGTCGTTGATTCGTTAATAGAGGAAGCTTGCTAGCACATGTTGAAAGCACAGAGAATTTCACCATAGTAAAAATTTTGCTAGTTATATAGACTTGCACGAGAAGCACCGTAGTGGCAAAATTTAATATTTTTCACCTTATGTATTAAAACATAAAATTAAAATAAATAACATAAAAATAAAACGCAAATTGTCGAATAAAACCTATTCAAGTTATTGACTTATCCAAGTCAATTTTAAGAAAATAAATTAGCGTTCCTATTTTAAATTTAAAAAAAATGGAATTGAAATATTGTTAGATATTATCGCACAATCCTATCTCTTATCGCTAGTACTTGTATATAATGAAGAATAGCTTTTAGCCAAATTAATTAAGGACAGATTTTCCAATAGTTTCTAAGTTATCTGGGGAATAATCATGATGCTGTCGCGTCAGAATGTTTGTTTAAGACAGTGACAGCAACAATTTTATTCCTCAGATAACATATATCTGACTATTGAAAATATAATCGCTAACGATGTAGAAACAAAATTTCTCATAAATTTCGGTCTTCAAAAAAGCTACACTAATGTGATTAGATGTCAAAGTGGGATGGCATGATTCAATTATCACGAGTGAAAAAGAGACAAATGTGAAAAAGTGTAACTAGATAGACACATTTCAATGTGTAGGTGGATAAATAATGGTGATAAATGTAAGAGAATTCACAAAACCTTTCTTTACCGTCAGTTCAACCGATAATGACTTTTATTACGTTAGCAATTACATACACATAAAACAAAAGGCGGCTGCAGCGAATAGTAAGATTTGTAACAGTTTTTTTGCGCCTAAAGCGATCCTTATGCCAGTGGAATAGAAGTTGAAATAGATTGGATAGGCGGTAAAAAAGTTTTATTAAAATTGTTATTCTGGAAGGGAATATAGTATATTACATTTTAACTAAATATCTTAGATAAACACCAGTAGTACTACGATTATTGTAGGTAAATATCAGCACTAATTTTTGCTATCCTTATTCTAGTCACTATCCCTTTGGCTTTGAATAATCTTGTCAAATTATAAAGCGTAGAACATTCTCGTATATATTTATTAAGGATTTTAGTAGTATTTTTGTACCTTGTGGAGTATTTAATTTTAATCTTGAAACTAGACTGCGTTGGTTCTCTTTAGTTGGCGGCTAAAAGGAAGTTTTTGTTGAAGAAGAAAGCGTTTGTGGTATCATATTATTTGTAAAAAAGAAATTAATTATTATGATTTTCGCTAAACCTAGACAATTTTTAAATCATACTTTACTACTTTTGTATAAAACAAAGCCGCTTTTTCTGTCCTTATATTACTAGGTATGCTTAAATGTTTAATAGAAAGATAGAAAGGTTTACATGTATGTATAATAACATCCATTAAATAGTGGATTAATGTACTATCAGCATTGCTCCTGAGCGAAACCGGGGCGGGTCGCTAGTGTAGGTACAATGTAATAAAACACAGAAATTAATATGTTGGATGTTTATTTTCAATTTTTGTTTGACAAACAAGTCTTTTACGCAGACACAAATAGCAGTTACTTGATTTAATTTTTACTTTTGCTGTTTTTATGTCCAAATCGAAGGCCACTCAATACCTACGGTAGTTTCCAACTAGTCAGATTCAATACTTTTATCCAAATGTCAAAAACTATACTTTTCTATGAAATGATGACGTCATAATATTTTTGCGTCAAATAGCTTACTTATTTCTTAATAATTAGCTACAAAATATCTAAAAAACGTAGTATGTAGATGCATCTATGAATAATAGTAGGTATAGTTATTTACAAATATTTTATTGTATTGGAACGTCGAATTAATTTATTTTTTGACCTAGGAAACTACCCAGTTTTACGAGCTATAACGTATTTCTGTCTCTACAATACGGTAGTTTCCAACTAGTCAAGTTCAATACTTTTATCCAAACGTCAAAAACGATAATTTTCTATGAAATTTGTATGAAAAACTGAGCTATGACGTCATAACTTTTTTGCGTCAAATAGCTTATTTCTTAATAATTAGCAAAAAAATCTAAAAATGAGTATACGATCGATTGATGACTAAAAGTATAGTTATTTTTCAATATTTTATCGTATTGAAACGTCGAAATAATTTATTTTTGACCTAGGAAACTACCCCATTACTAAATAAAACGACAGAGTTAACACGATATTAAGTACAATCCAAAATAAAGTGGCATTCAGTATTTGGGTGTAACTAACTAACTAACTCAATAGTTAAAGTTGCTCAGTATATTTCTGTAGTGTCCGTGGTTGCACGACAGATCATACGAGCTTGGTATCCTAAAGGAATGAAGGCGACTCATTATCAACATTTCAATGTTTATAAATTTTTATTTCTTGTATACAAAAATGTCACATTATGTAAACTTTCGATTCTGGAATGTTACTATCTAATTTAACAAAATTGTAGTTTTATAATAAAGCAAAAAAAAGACAGAATTGTCAATGTTATAAGTGCTTGCCACGTAATTTATGTTAAATATTCTGTTAATAATTTAATATTTATTTACTTGTATATTATCCTTGACTTATTAGACAGTAATAATTTATTTTACAATGTATTTGGTGCCATTTATTTTTATAATCCCATTTTTATCATGTCAAATTAAATAAGTGCCAAAATGGTAATAGCTGATTTTAATTTTAATGTTTATTTTAAATAAAACGTGTAGACAACAGATACGTTTTGAGTTTTATTTTATTTAAAAAATTGTATACGTAACTTTATGTTCTATAAGGTACTGTGAAGAACCTATGAATTGAGTAAATTAAAATTACATTTCAATAACTTATAAACTATGATAGACAACCTTAAAAAGGTGAATTCAAATCAACCAAATCGGCCAGCAAGAGGCTCGTTAACAAAGTATGGATGTATAAAACATAACAACTAAACCTTATTTTCACAATATACTTACATATATCAGACAACGGAAAACTTATTATAAACAAAACAAAATTTACCCAATCTAAACATCTTCGCCTTTTAGGCTTTGGAACCGTTGCAGAATCTTTTGAGCGGGAGTTTGAGCTACATAGACGGAAGATTTTATAGTGACCAGACTTCCTTTCTTCTTTCGTAGTGTCGTAAAGCCGCCACGAGCCGAACTCTTCTTCGAATAGAAACTTTCTTTGGAAGAAGTGTGCTTGTGCATTAGAAGCCGCGAGCAAAGAACTCTTGGAGAGACGAGCTCAAAGGATGATGTTGACGTCGCTCTCAGTTTCGGGGTCGATGTTGAATCTGGACGAGGCGAACTAATATAGCACGGTTCTACCCTAAACACATTGCTGTACACAGTTGGGAATGGTCTAGAGCTCTTCACTTCAGGCAATGCGGGCAATCCCTCGGGTTCACTCACTGAGTCATCACTTTGTTCTGGATGTAAACTCTCCTGCATTAGGCCTTGCGGTTCTTGAGCAGCAAAATTAGATCGGCTCACTAGCTGTCTAGCCCTCTTCCTAGCTCGAGCCTTAGCCACTTTAGCATCGCTCTTCGAAGACAATAAATTAATATTCTGATCGATGTATTCACACACCGCTTCAGCTTCCTCCTGGGGTGACAAATGCGCATCCCTAAAGAAACCATAGCCGTTACGAATGTCATGAAAACATTCGATGACAAGCCAAGTAAGTGTGCTTATTACTAAAACCAGTGTTGTGACAACAGCAATAGCTGTGGTCGTGTCAGGTCCACTTAGTTTGTATTGAATCTTGCCTAAAACACCGTAAGTGACGATATTCTGAGTACGTCTGTTGCTGTGCGCACGACATGTGTAAAATCCTCTTAGATCATGGTCAGCTGTAGCTACGAGTCTCAGAACTCGTCCATCATTAACCGATCTCGCAGTTTTTTCTTTAAGAGTTCTTGCATCGATTGCTGTATCGAGGTACAACCAGCTAGCTTCGTGTGGAGATCGAGCTGTTCTTGCATGAAGGCACGTCAGGTTCAACCTGTTAGACTTACCCCACGCTGTTTCATGGTAAGATCCAGATATACTCGCAGATCTCGAGGAGACTTGAACTTTGTCTTCTTTATATCTCTCCATGTTATAACTATGTAAATCTAATAGGACTCCATTTTCCCTAATAGAAGCTATAACTCCATGAAACGGAACAACTTCCTCGTTAAGATTACTTTTTAAGTTATTTGGTATCCCACCAATGTAGAATTCGTCAGAGCACAACGAAAATACAAAGTCTTTTGGTTGCTCAATTACAACATTTTCAGCTCTCAATGATGCCTTATCTGGGTCTGTAGGTGGCGTTATGATTTTAACTGAGTCACGTCTTTTACGGGCCACTTCTTCGAACAATACGTGTACTCGTTCGCCAGCGTTGATACAAGCTTCAATTGCATTTGTATCTTTGTTTTTGGTAATAGTAACGTCAAGCCATTGATCTGGCGCGCAATCCGATGTACTACTGCCTTCTGCTCGAAAGGAACCAATAGCTAACTTCATCTTTAATCTCATATTTTGCAAATATAAATGTAACCAGCTGGTGCTTCTTTCGGCTCTCAAAAATAAAATAGTTCCCGCTTCTTTTTTGGTTTTCAAAGTGAGTTCTAACTGCCAATTTTCTTGATTAATGAAGCAGGGTAGGCATAAATACTGGTCATTGTTGATGTACATGTATGCTTCTTCCGTATTTGCTTTTTCATATGCTATATTTGAAGCAGCGATAGGATGTAAATCGCTTTTTCTGGATCTCTGATTGCGACTTATAATCATATTCAACGGAATAAAATTCAAAATGAGTTCCTGAATTTGTCCCTGAAATCTTTCTCCTACAAAAATTTTCATTTTGTCATCAGGCAAATCTGGGTCACAAGGCCAAGAAATCTTTAATGGTATGGTGGCTTCATTGAGCCTCAACATAGCTCCTTCGCCCGTCACAGCCAGAAGAGCGGTATGCCAAGTGGCTGGTTCAAAGTTTGTGTGCGAGCAAATCCTAGGCAGACAACATGACCGAGTTGCGCCACACGCGTCTAGACAAACATGCCATTTCTGTAAACTGAGACGAACAAAAGAATTTTGACCCGCTTCTCGACGTACCAACGTTCCATGAGGTGACAAGGGCATAAATCGCATGTAGAAATGATATAATGTAGCGCGCTTATTTTCAAAGTTGTACTGAAGAGCTGATTCACCATGAAATATGGCAACTGTATGAGAAAATGTTTCACAAGGATTGAAATGACAGGTGCCAACTTCAGTTTTAGGGCCGACACAAGTCGACCCTTTACCCTGAGGGATAGGTCTAGTACAGGTTCTTGTTCTAGCCCGTTTGCCTGCTCCGCAGGTCTGTGAGCAAGGTCCCCAACTTCCCCATCCTGACCATCCACCATCCAACGAACAAAAATCATTTTCACAAACCTCTAACTGATCGTGCTGTCCTCGACAATGCGTACCCCACGTTCCGGAAACAGGAGGGGTGTCGGTTTCATGACAAACTCTCCTTCGGCGTCTTACCCCTGCTCCACACTTCTCTGAACACGCTGACCAGGAGCCCCACTCACCCCAACTTCCTCCAAAATCTTTGCTAGTAATAGCGCATTGGTCGCCTACGCAAACATCTGCTATAAGAGGAGAGCCAGCACAAGCAAGACGCGCGTCCGACGGTGCAGGTGTATCACATCTTCGTAATCTCCACTTTAAGCCTCGTCCACATCTGGCTCCGCAAGAAGACCAGGAACCCCATGTTCCCCACTCGCCTATCAACGGACAACCCAGGTTACGCTTCACACATTGTAATGCGTTCCACAAAGATTCTGAATTAAGTTGCCATGTATTATCAAAAGCTAAAGCTGCCTCAATTGCTTCGAATGGGCATTCCATTTGTAAACAGCGTTCCATTAAAGCAGGTACGGCTTCTAGTTGATTTAGGGCCTCCATCCTAGCAGAGTCACCTTTAACCAGTTCCCGAAAATCATTGACAGTGCAGTTTGTAAGGTAACAGATATCGGTTTGTTCATCCGACCCACCACAAGGCGTACCGTCTTGAGATGGTGGCGGGTTGATGCATTCTCTTGTTCGGTGACGGTGTCCAACGTCGTCACAAGGGCCTTGGCATGCCGACCAAGGACTCCAGGCGGACCAACCTCCATCAATAGGACAGTCACTATCGGAAATTATGCCCAGCTCACATTCGAGCCGCCAGACAATCTGTTGCCGCTTTCCGCTTGGTTTTTTTGTTTGGATCATGAGAAGTAGGCATATTAGCCAAACAATTAAGTACTTATAAATATGAGAAGACATTACACTTGCTTAACAATATCAAATTAAATAATTACTACAGGCAAAAGTCCAATGTCAGAAATACACTTTTATTTCACCAAATTGACGTCCAAAAAAATTACAACCTTCTTGTTCTCAAAAAATAGGTCTCAATCAGATAGTAACATTCAGAGCCAACACCCTCATACAAAGTTAGGTACGTGCATACATAAATGCAATTTTTACCTTTGCCCCATGGGGTTAGGCTAAAAGTAGAGAGCATCACGCTACATGGTATTCCTATGAGGCCTGCATATATTTTCTAGGCCGACCTCTAACTATATAGTTACAATATCTCTTCGTTGATAAATTAAAGAAATAAGGTGATTTGTGGCAATGTGTCAAACTCGTACTATGCAAAATCCACACTAATCCTAGGTCTGGTCTGTGCCCATAAAAAATAATAATCAATTTATTCTTTAAAATAAGTTTTTAAGAAGGTAAAATTATCACATGGCTTCTATCGCCCAAGGTATGGCGAGAGCGAGTGTGGGTCTCTTAGCATTACTGACTAAAAAGCCTTATCCTTCTCCTGCTCCGGACTGCGACCGAACCTTATTGCGCTTGAATCGCGGCCTAGGCTAACCATCCGCCCTGTTGGACCCTAGCTGTGGTAGACTCTTGGCTTTTTGAGGAAAGCGCGGAACGCTAACCGTACATGAGTGTCACACTCTTATTGACTAATAACTACTTCGTTCCTTCTGACCCCCAAGCAAGCCCGAGGCTGCGGGAGCCTCTTTGAGCCCCATCAATGGTGGTGTATTGGCTCTTTGAGACGCAAGTGTGTCCTGGCCGCGCAGCGAGTCATCCTTACTCGTGGACTGCAGACCTGCGCTTACTGTAGCCGGACATCTTAACACGAACTTCGACGCCCGGATGCCGCTGCTGTGGCAGATGGGGCGTAAAGAGGGTAGTTTCCTCTTGCGCTCCGCCTCCTTCTTTGCGACCATCACTGCTTCACAGAAAGAGAAGACAGCTTCCAGTTTTTTCGCTTCGCACCATGGCACACCTCCGCCGTATCCTCATAGTGTCGACACCCGGGTGGTCCCTCTGGCTGGACCTACCAAAGGTTACGTGCCGTGACCTACGTCAGCCGAAAGGTGAGGATGCCATGGCATTCTTCAAGCCATTCCTCAAAGAGGGGTTTCTTACCGCGTCTATAATAGCGTGCCCCGCCCTCGGTTCCGAAGACGTACGTTAGTATCGCTTTTCACCATAAGATCGTATGTACTGTGTGTGCGTGTGTGAGTGTGAGTGCGCGCGCGCTTGCCTGTGTGTGTGTGTGTGTGTGTGTGTGTGTGTGTGTGTGTGTGTGTGGGTGTGGGTGCGCGAGCGCTCGCTTTTGTGTGTGTGTATGTTGTAATGTACCAGTTACATCTGTGTAAGTGTAAGTACTGTGAGTCTAAACGTGTGTGCACGCGTGTTGGTGAATATGTGATCGTGTATATGTACATGCTTAAGGGATTGATTGATGTATTAAGTGTGTTCTTGTTATACATTTGCAATGTAGTGTGAATGTGTGAGTGACAGTAGTTGTTAGCGAGGGTTAATTTTTTTGTAAATAAAACAATTATTGATCAGGAAGGGCTATTTATTGTATGTGGAATAGTTACATTACAATAAAAGCTTGGATAGGAGACAGAGTTCTACATCAATAATTTATTCGTCTACACATCATTGCAATGTGTATCGTTACAAACTACAGAAAATGCTGTGAGTGCCTACAGCATGAAATAGATTTTTATTGTTGTTATCGATCCATGTATCCCGGCTGTTAATTTTCTGTTGATCCCGCCAGTTTGAATATGGGGACGGTACATGGACCGCGAAGAGGTGCTTGCATTTTCACTAGTAAAGCCCCCTTCGCCACTCCAAATCATCCGGTTCGTCGTCGTCATTGATGCCCCCTGATGACAGAAAACAAAAGTCACATTAGTAGCTAAAATTATTTGATTCAACTATGCTATTACGGTAGAGTAGCCAGATTGTTATCAAATACTCTTCACCAACCGCCAACACTAGACGACACCGCCAACCGCACCACGAACGCTACTCTTGCGCAATCTAAATTAAAATACGACATAAATATATTGCACCACTACCACGCTGTATCCTTGAGTGTAAGAGAAAAGATTAATATTCTAAATTAAAAAGACCACTAATCATCACGACAATCTGCCTCCGACTCAATGACCACGCCCAAACTTGAGAAAATATAAGTCTTCCCAACTACGCCAGCCTTCAGACACCTGAACAAAGACAAACTAAAACCCAGCGACGAAGTGGTAATAACGTATCTAGATATATAAGCAAAAACCCGCGCGTTCGAAGAAGGGTCGAAGAAACTGTAATGAACACAACGAGTAATAGATACTTACGTGGAGAAGACTCCCCACTGCTATCCAACAGCAGTGGGGAGCCGAAGAGGAATAAAGCCAATGTCATCCTTCCTCCATTGCCACAAATTTACAATTTTCTCTCGTGAATTACGTCAGTACTGGCGGGTCGCTTCGGCGATTCTGCGGTACCGCCGCTCTGGGCCAAGCCCCTTGTTGCAGGGAACTCAACTGCGCAAGTGCATTTCAGGACGAAAACATACGGCACTACAATTCGACTCTCAATTTATTTATTTATAGGTTTGATGAATAAATTCATAGCAAACATATGTGTCGTATACACATCACGTCGCAAACATGTGCCTCCAGATGACAGAGCATGTGCCAAAAAGCTTTATAAGTGCGTTGCTTGTTGGGGAGTATTAGGTTCTTAACTACTTAACCAAATTTTTACGCAGTAAAAACTTGCTACGACACATCCCAACAGAGCTCTAAATCTCCCATGAGAGTCGCTGGGCCTCTCACTTTCAGGAGGCCCAATCCAATCCCTCCATTCCTCCCCAATCCTAAAATCTACAAAGCCCTAATTCCCAAAACGTCGACAACGAACTCGCAACTCATCCGTTGTTGCGGTTTCCACGGGCGGCGCAGATTGCTTACCAGATAATATGCCTGCTAGTTTGCCGTCCTATCGCATAAAATGGTTCTTTTCGGGTCCGAAGAAACGCCCGAATATGGTCACTGTGAGAACTACCTGGAGGACACGTTGGAGAATGTAGTGCATCATAACAGTGTCGATAATTGTACAGTTTCTTATTCTTTTTTGACAGGGGAAAATCTTCAAATGACTTCTCCCGCCCAAGGCTAGGCGAGAGAGAGTGTCAGACTCTACTGACTAAAAAGTTCCCCGTTCCTTCTCCTGTTTTGGGCTGAGGCCGCGGTGCCACATTGCGCTTACCCCGCAATCCCGGCTAAACATATCTAAGCCATATAGCCCCGTGTGTTGTGGCCGCATGATGTGACGCGCCGTGCGCCTGGGAACAGCGTGACACTACTTAAGTGTAAGGATTTGATCGTGTACTGTACCTCTAATTGGACTCATATTAGGTAGTAACACTAGGTAGCTTACAAGTTTCGGATGGTTTCGATACTCGCTCCATAATTTTTTTATAAACTTTTAAAATTTAACAATGTCTTCTCTGGTTGTGAATAATTTACAAAGATTTAGGCACTTTATACAGTAGATATGTGTAAATCATAGATACCTCTGCCTAATCAACGAACTTACAATAGTTCCCTCAAAATTATGCATCACGGACAATCAACTTTGACTGCACGGTTGGCGCCGTGGCTGGGCTACTGGCTGCCGCGCAACGTATCGCGGGTTCGATTGCCGCACGGCACAACACTTTTTGTGATCCACAAATTGCTGTTGTGGGTTTGGGGGTGTGTGTTTTTGAATGTGCATGTTTGTAAACGTACCCACAGGATAAAACCCAAAAATGGGCAACGTTTTTTAAAAAACCCTTATTTACATAACACAATTTTTAAGTTATGTTCATCACCAGTGGGAACAAATAAATGTTTTTTAACCTTTCGTCGGCCAAATGTCTCCTCCCGGATTTATCCGGGGATTGTACGATTCACGGCCGTCTACGGAGCCCCGGTGTGGTACCAAACCTGACGGTAGCCAGCTTGTGCGTTGGTCGCGTCTCAGCTGGTGAAGATCGTATGATCTCCGGGTGAAGCTTATCTTGCTGGATCACCGCTATGGGATTAGGAGGCCTAGCCGCTCCTGCACTGATATGTGGCGAGAGCGAACGCCTAGGGGGGACTCCGGCGCGACTGGAAGTAACGGCTGTCTCAAACGAGGGCTGTTATATAGTTGTTATCGCAGGGATAAGACCTCTCTTTGAAGAGTGGCTAGAGAGAAGTCACGGCAAACCGTCGTTACCTTTAGTCTGACTCAGGTGCTTACCAGACGCGGGTCCCTTAGTAGGAATCTATTTCAGATTCAACAGAAAGACAAAAGGGATTGGGGAGGGATCGGGGGAGGGAAGGATTGGGCCTCCGGTAACCTCACACACCCGTATTCTGTGAGGCCGTGATATCACTCCGGTCGAGCCGACCCATTCCTGCCGAAGCATGGCTGGCTCTCCCACACTTACACTATTGTCAGTGTGATGACCACCTGGAGGAAACAGTGGAGCATATTGTAATCCCCGCTTTGGCTAAGCACAGTTTATTCTTAATTGAAAAAGGAACTTGTCCTAGAAATTGATTATTAGGTCACGTAAAGTAACTCAAATATTGTAGATATCTGATATTTTCAAGATAATCTTTTTTCACATGACATTTATATTATTTTGCACTAATAAGTAAGGTATATTACATATTGTCCAGATATAGGTAGTGTAATTTTCGCAAACAGTTTTACTATAGGATGTTTTTGATACTTGTGCTCACACTTACCTAATACTAATGTTATACATTAAAGCATTATACTAAAGCACATACATTTATCATTATAAGAAGCGATTATCTAAAAAAACATGATAGGATCCGCAGGCCACAACTAGTCTAGAAATGAGA